GAATCTTCCTCTGCTTATAGCTGTGTATCCCTCCGGCAAGTTAGTTAACTTCTCTGATGCTCAGTTTCCACTTTTGTGGAGTTAGTGTGCAAATCACCGTGCTTTCTAGGGAGAAATAATTGCCATTTATATAATGAGAGGGAAGAGATACGCCTGGCATACAGAGGCGCTTCGCTGGAAAACTGCTGTTACTACTCTCGTTGTGTCCTTGTCATTTTCTTTGTTGCTGAACCTGATGTTTCATCCCTCAGCCCCTCCTCTCCCCTTTGCCTTGAAGTCAGGACCAAGATAGCAGTGGCCTTGCTTAATCTTCTTTCCTAAGGAGTGGGAAGAGGGGTGCTGAGGTGCTGTGGGTGTCAGATTCCCTGGGGGATTTTGCCTTTTGTTTTAATACAAATTCTAACACATGCCCTAAACTCCACTCCCCACCCCACCCCTTTATCATTTGCCGTGTTTGCCTGTGGGCGGGCCTTGGCGTTTCCCACACAAAAGTTCAGCCTGCTCGTGGGAAACACTGTGATCTCTGATTAGTGTGGGGCTTCTGTCCCTGAGGCTGTCTTCTTCACTCTTGAGTACCTGGCTGTGGAATGCTCTGTCATTTTGGGACTTCCAAAGATAAAATTTCTTTCTTTAGCATTCACTGTCTTTTCCCATTCTCCCTCCATTTTTCTTACCCAACACGGGTGTCCACCTTTGCCAGGTGTTGCAGTCCTGTGCCCCGAAACCCTCCTCAGAGCATCCTGCCCTGCGCGGTCTTTGGCCCCATACCCTCTTGTGCTCATTGAGGCCCGTGTCTTCAGGACCCTCCAAAGGTTGCTGCTGAGTAAGAGGCTGGCAAAGTGAGTGGGTGGGTGCCTCAGTAGAGCTTGTGAAGGTCAGGTAAACGCTTGATAGAGAAATGTACAGAGTGCCTGATGGAAAGTGGTCTTGTCAGAATGGAACTTGTCCTCCTTTGCTCCAAGTGATGGGGATGGAGGGAGCATTGGCTGCTGCTGCAACGGATGTCCATGCCTGAAACAAACACGAAGATAAAACTAGGAGAGTAAATGTACTCCACGTGAAAAAGTCCTACATTTTCCCTAAAGTTAACATGGATAAGTGCAGATTGGAGAGCTCTGCTGGCTTGCGAATGGTGATGGGGCTGGCGGGGGAGCACAGAGCTTGTTGGGGGTCTCTGAATAGAGACACATGGTCCTGTGAAAATGCAGCAGTATCTCACCGTCTTTTTTGCTTGTCATCTTCCGGAAAACATAAGCTCCTGGTGGTCAAGGTAAAGGCCTGTTGGGGCCATTTCAGGTAGATCTTATTTTTAGGTATGTTCATTGTCATGCTGTGTTTTTATTTATTTATTTATTTTTAAAGATCTGGGGAGGTTAAGGGTGGCAGTGGCTAGATCATCAAGATGTGGAAGATTGATGGATTTGATTACATAAAAATAAAAATAATTCTGAAAGATCACCTACAGAATTTATGAGCAAAAAAAAAAAAAAGCCGGGATAAGATGTTTGCAGCAAATATAACAAAGACTTAAAGGATTAGTATCCTTAAAAAAATAAAGGTCGGTAAACATTATAGAAAAATAGGCAAAGGGCATAAGGAGATAAACCACAAAAAAGTCTTTGTTCTTGCTAACAGACATGAAAAGCTCACGAATCAACACATTGCAAAATCTCTGAAAATGTATCTGCTGGCACAGGTTTAGGGCTTTCAAACTTTAATGAGATGTCACACTCACCGCTGGTGGGACTGCCAGTTGGGAAAGTCTTCCTGGAAGAGAACTTTGTGTTATGTCTCAAGAGTCTTAAATATCTTCTGACCATTTAGTCTTCCGGGACTCTAGTCCAAGGGATCAGGGTGTGCAAAGGCTTTGTCACGCAACATCATTATTTGTAATCATTACAGACATGTTCCCCCCAAGTGACCACCAACAGAGCTGTGGTAATGTCTGCAGAGGAACCTCCTCTCACTGTTAAATAGCAGTTTTGAAGAGTGAGATGTGTATGTGGTAGAATAGGTAGTGGGGGTTGTCTGGAGGTGGAATTTTAGGGCTACCTTCTCTCCTCTCAGAATGCTGGAGACTTCCTGCTCTCCAGTTTTTCTCTTACCACCTTCCCTTCCACATCGCTGTGGCCCTACAGTCCCCAGCTCTCATCTGCACAGATACTTTAGGCTTCTGATCTTCCCGTCTTCACTTAGCCTTCTCTTTTGTCCATCTTTTTATATAGTGAAGAAGTCCCTTCCCAAAGCACGGATCTCACCATTATGCTTATCCTCTTTGGGCCCTCTTAGAGTCTCCTCTTTTTCCTGCTGAATTGAGTGTAACCCCTTTCACTTGGCACCCTCAGGGACTAGCTGGTCCTAGTTACGGTGCCCGTCATCTCCTGTGCAGTGAGCTGCTTGGTGGCTCATTTTCCTGCTTCTGTCATGCAGCTTGATATGTGGCTGGGATTTGTTGAGGGGAAGGGACAGTCTGGAGGTGGCAGGACGACAGTCCCACCAGTAGCCATAGAGCAGATGAACAGTAGATGAAGGGACACTCTGCCTCTTTGAAAACTGCTTCTGCTAGGAAGTTGTTTTTTTTTCCCTCCTTGAATTGTAAAACACTTTAAGAATGTAGGAAAAGGGTTAATTCTAAGTAATTAACATACGCCATCTCTGTCAGGGTTACAAGTTGAGCTAAGCAATATTTGTTGTAACTTCCCTTTTGAATATAGAAAGTTCCCACTTTTATTTATTGGAAACTGCATAGTAAGGTGGGTCCTCCTATCCTCTCCAAGCAGTAGAAAAGATAGATATAGATATAGAGATAGATATAGAGATATAGAGAGATAGAGAGATATAGATATATAGATCTATCTATCTATCTATCTATCTATATATCTATATCTATCTATCTATCTATCTATCTATCTATCTATCTATCTATCTATCTATCTATATGATGACCCACTTGTCCCTGTTCTTGAAAAGGGAAAATTATTTTAAAAGTCACTAAACTGCAATAAGTCCCCTAGACTTATTCCTTAATGGGTTTTGCTCTATCTGGTGACAGGCATGTCCCCGCTTCTCAAACTGGCACGTGTCTCCCTTGGGGAGCATGAGCTTGTGCCAAGGACCCACATGGCACATTTGGGATACTATTTTTGGCAGGAGGGAAATATCTTTAATCCATGGTTTCTCAGCCTTGACACTATTGACATTTGGGGCCAGATTGTTCTTGATTGTGGGATCTGCCCTGGCACCGCAGGATGTTTAGCAGGACCCCTGGCCTCTATCTATTAGATGCTAGTAACTCTCCCCCAGCTGTGATGACCAAAAATGTCTCCAGACATTGTCAGATGTCCCCTGGAGGGAAAAATCACTCCTGTTTGAGAGTCACTGCTTTATACATGGATATGATATGAACAAGAATGCAACATGTGCATGAACATTTAAACTCAAAGAGCCACCTCAGAAAAATTTGATACATACACCTAGCTCCTCTATTACATTGAGGAGGGCAGAACTTAATGTTCTGGCAACTATTTTATTTTACTTTTTGCCCTCTAAACTATTGAACTCTCAGATTTTGTATAATTCTTTCTCTTATTTGTTTATATTTCAAGTTCTTCCCCTCTAGCTCATCCAAAGTATTTATTGAATGAAAAGTGTCCCTAACAGAATTCCTTGAACAGGAGGTTTTCTACTTATATTTCTAAACTCCTAGGCATGTCTTCATGTTTGTAGAGCAGCTCGGCCAAGTTCATTCATCCCCAGTAGGATATTAATTGATGCTAAGGCCTGACATCATTCCAATGAGTGCCAGCGAATGTTCTCTGTCCCTTCTCACCCCTACCTGCTTGTGGTATTTTTTTCCACCATAAAAATGTAGGCATACCTAGGCACGTTTTTATCGTGCATGTGCCAATGCTTGTAGGGCTTCTTTGTGCCTTCTCATTTTTGAAGCCAAATTCTTGTTACTCTTTGGGTGGATCTCTTTTCTTGCCCAAGTCATACTTTTGTCATTTGAAATGGAGGTTTTGATTTTCCTCCTCTTCTCAGAAACTTGGCTGCATAGACTTGTTTCAGTAATTTCCTGCTTTTGACTTTTGCCGAGGTTTTTCCCTTAGCTTAGAGCATTGCACTTTTCCTTGTTAAATAACATCAGATTCTCTGAGATTCTCCGAGCACGTCCGAGCAATCTTGGGGCCAGTAGTGTTGATGTCGTTCCCGCTCTCCCTGTATCCTCTAATCTGTTGCTATGTTACCTTCCCCCCCACTCCCCTCTTTTTTTTGCTTGGATTTTTTTCTTTAGGTTTATATTGTCTTTGGACCGATATCAAATGTTTTGGTTCTATGCAAATGTTTTGGTTCTACATTGTAGCCCATGTAAAGCTCATCTTGCCACCTTCCTGGAATTCTGTGTGTCATTCAACCCTAGTTTGGTTTTATCTCCTCTTTTTTATGCTTTTGAGTGCCTTCTCCTGTCTTTAATTGGGCACTTATAGGGAATTTAGAATTTTAATATTTATCCAATCACTGTGTGGTAATGGTTGCCACTAGTTATAAGTGAGTATTTAAATTTAAAGTTAGATACAATTAAAAATTCAGTTTCTCTATTGCACTAGTCATCTCTCAAGTGCTCAGTAGCCTTGTGGCAAGCGACAACTAGGGACTAGACAGATGAATGTAGAACATGTCTATTATTGCAGAAAAAGCTCTATTGAACAGTGCTGGGCTATAAGATATAGACCGTAATGCATGTCAAAGAAAGACCTATTTTTATCCCTAGCGTTCTGATATTTTTGAAATGATGGTCCTCTTCTCCAGGGGACAATTCACAATCAGCGAGTGACTGTAATGAAGAGGGTGGGGACCTGAACAGTGTTAATTGAGCAATGTGTTCTTGGATGTTTGGGTATAACTCATATTCTGATTTTTTCCATCCAGAAAACATTGCTGACCATGTATCCTGTGTTGCTCGTGTGCTTGAAATGATTTGGCTGCTTTCTCTTTTCCAGGTGCTAAGAGATGGTGCTTGTGGGGCTCATCTCTGCCTAAGAATTGGGTGCTCCAGGACTGGAAGAGCCAGCTCTGATCCTGGGCTCCCTTCTTGAACAAGCCTTCACTTCCAGCCACTCCAGTCCAACGGTCAAACGACTCATTCTCTCTTAATGATGGGTATTGGGAAGAACACTACGTCCAAGTCCATGGAGGCTGGGAGTTCCACCGAAGGCAAATACGAGGACGAAGCAAAGCACCCCGCTTTCTTCACCCTTCCGGTAAGAGCACCCCCTGTCTTCCTTTCTTCCTGAATCACTCTTAAGTAGTTTCTGTATTAAATCAACATAGGATTAGCTTTAATGCTCATGTTTTCAGTGAAGCTTAACTTGAAAACTAAATGGTTTTCATGTGAGGCAGTCAGTCTTTGAGAGCCCAGTTGGCTGGCTCTGGTTTTGGCCCTGTTCTCTGCCTGGAGTCACGTGAGGGGACTAACTCCAGGAAGGAAGCATGTATGGCTGTGACTGCTGTAAAACTAGCTCAGTGCTTACTCTATATCAGGGGTCGGCAAACTTTTGAGATGGAAGAGTCGCCAGGGGTCAGCAAACTGCGGCTCGCAAACAGTGGCTCTGAAGTAAAATACAAAAACTAAAACTATCATAGTTTCATTTATAAAAACTTTAAAGGACATTATTCACATAATGGTGATTATGTAAAAATATATTTATGGCTCTTGAATAATTTTTAAATTGTTGTGAGGGACAGGATTGGCTTTCCCAGGGGTTGGCAAACTTTTGAGAGGGAACGTACCCAAAGAGCCGCATGTGGCTCATGAGCCGCAGTTTGCTGACCCCTGTTCTATCCTGAGGGATGTTGAAGGCCTAATTTTACCCCCATCAATGTGTTCTTATGAAACAGATCGTAACCCGACTTCAGACTTGTATTGCAGGGTGGGAGGAAACAAATGAGTGACTTATTGTTTGGAATCCAAATGTCCGTGCTTTGCATTATGGCAGCAGCACCCAAGACAAAGGTAGTTTTGCCTGGACAAGTGAGCATCAGTCAGATAAGGCTGATGACACATTCATTTTATTCAGTGCTAATATTTTTCCAGGTACAGGATTATGACTTGATGTGTATCAAGTTATCTCAACTGTTGGTTTAAAAAAGAAAAACACTTTTTTTTTTGAAAAAGATTTGTTTTTATTGGGGAATTGGGGGATGGGAACAGCGCTGGGGAATTGGGGAAGGGGAACAGACAAGTTGCTGTCCTTTTGTTGTTCAGTCTAGTTGTGGAGGACGTTGCTTCACTGGCCCAAGTTGGTACCATCATTGTGCTCTTCCCGGGCGAGGCAGATCAGTTGCCGGCTTCTGGACGGCTGCTCACGGTGGCTGCTGGCCGCTCACGCTGGCTGCTGGCTACACACGGTAGCCCATGGCAACCCACTGCAGCAGGGGACTGCAGCCTACGCCATCGCTGGCGACTCACGGCAGCCCAGCTCCAGGTTGAGCTGTTGTTCAGCATCTTAGCTGTGGAGGGCAGTGTCACTGGCCCTCATATGTGGGATCCGAACCGGGGCCCTCTGGCATCCCAAGCCAGCTCTTAACCAACGCGCCACTTGGCTGGCCCTCTCATACTTTATTAACTACCAATTTATATTTCTTAATGTCTTCACCTTTTTCACCCTGCCCCCAACCCCATTCCCATCTATCATCCTGATAGATCTAGTACTTATCTGGCACCATACCTAGTTATTACAATATTATTGACTATATTCGTTATGCTATACCCTACATCTCCATGACTACTGTATACAACCAATTTGTTCTTCTTAGTCTCTTCCCATTGCACCCATCTTTAACCCTCCTCCCATCTTAAAGAAGTCCCTCTAAGAGTCCTTGTAATACTGGTTTGTTGGTGATAAACTCCTTCAGCTTTTTCTTGTCTGAGAAGTTCCTTATCTGTTCTTCAATTCTCAATGACAGCTTTGCTGGGTAGAGTAATCTTGGTTGTATGTCGTTGCTTTACATCACTTGGAATATTTCCTGCCACTCCCTTCTTGCCTGCAAAATGTCTGTTGAGAAATCAGCTGCCAGTCTTATGGGGGCTCCCTTGTAGGTAACTAACTGCTTTTCTCTTGCTGCTTTTAAGATTCTGTCTTTGTATAACCTCTGGCATTTTAATTATGATGTGTCTCGGTGTTGGCCGCTTTGGGTTTATCTTGTTTGGAACTCTGTACTTCCTGGGCTTGTATGTCCATTTCCTTCACCAGGTTAGGGAAGTTTTTCTGTCATTATTTCTTCAAATAGGTTTTCAATTCCCTGCTCTCTGTCTTCTCCTTCTGATACCCCTATAATGTGAATGTTAGTGTGCTTGAATTTGTCCCAGAGGCCCCTTAAACTCTCCTCAATTTTTTTGATTCTTTTTTTGTTTTGTTGTTCTGGCTGGGTGTTTTCTATTTACCTTCTTATCTTCTTCCTCACTTACCTTCTGCGTTGTTGGTTGGATCCTCTGCTTCATCTAATCTAATGTTGATTCCCTGTAATATATTCTTCATTTCCATTATTGTATCCTTTATTTCTGACTGGTTCTTTTTTATGGTTTCTATCACAATATTTATGAGATCATTGAGTGTTCTTATAACCAGTGTTTGGAACTCTGTGTCTGATAGGTTGCTTATCTCCGTTTCACTTAGTTCCTTTTCTGGAGCTTTGTTCTGTTATTTCATTTGGGACATGTTTCTTTGTCTCCCCATTTTGGCTGCCTTCCTGTGTTTTTTTCTATGTATTAGGCAGGGCTGCTATGTCTCCCGGTCTTAGTAAAGTGGCCTTATGTAGTAGGTGTGCTGTGGGGTTTAGTGGCTCAGTCTTTCTGGTCACCTGAGCCATGCACCCCAGGTGTGTCCCTTGTGTGGATTGTGTGTGCCCTGCTCTTGTAGCTGAGTCTTGATTAATAATTGCACATCAATGTGAGGGACTGACCCTTGGGCTTACTGGCTGTGAGGACTGGCCTTGTCTACGGTGGAAGAGTTGTGCAGGGGCTGACCCTACAGAGCAGGATCTGCCTCAGCAGGACTCTGGTGCCTGCCCAATCCGCCCCTTGGGTGTGTCATACTTGGAAACTGCTGGGTGATGCTTCAGCTCGTTTTGAAGCTGGCCACTTGGTGGTGCCACCTTGGAGGGGATCCGCTGTAGGTCTGCTTCAGCTACAGCCCGTGCCCCAGGCGGGGCCACCCAACAGGACCACCAAGAAATCCGTAGATGGCTGCCACCTATGCCATGCTTGGAAGCGCCTTGAGAGGTCAAGCTGTGGACCAAGGCTGGCTGCCGCTAGTGCCAGCTTAGAGCTGCTCAGCCAGAGGCACAGGACAGACTCATGCCAGATGCTGCTTGTCTGGGTTCCACTAACATTTGAGAGACCCTAGAAAAGTGCAACTTAAGCCAAGGCAGGTGGTCTGCATGAAAAAGCCACTGAAAGCGGCCTGGGTGTGCCCGAACGTTGGGCGGGGCCAGTTCTCAAGTCGCTAGGGTGTGGCTAACAAATGGTGGAGACGCAGAAATGGCGGTCACCTGTGTTCGCATGCCGGGAAGGGGGAGGGCTCAGCAGAGAAACAATGGCTGCCGCCAGCTCCTCTGTCCAGGAGAAAGCTGCCTCTCCATCCCCCATCCTAAGCCAGACGACTCAATTCCCCACCACATGTTCCAGCCGCCTTTCCAGCTGCTGCCCCAGCCCTGGAGCTCAGAGCGAGTGATTCCACTGGTGGGTAAATCCGCGCGCAGCCCCTTTAAGGGGAATGCCTGGGAGTGCAGCTGCACTGTCTCTCTCAGTCACAATCTCCGCTGTTTTTCACAACCAGAAATTATGGGGACTTCTCTCCTTGGCACTGGAACCCTGGGCTGGGGTGGGGCTGGTATCTCTTGCTTCTTTAGGGGGTGAGGGGACCCTCACACCCAAAATAGCGGTCCCGATCTTTAATAGTCACACTATTAAACCACGGGAGCAGCCCGTGCCGTGTCTCTGACCTTCCTACCAGTCTGGAGGTGGCTTCTTCTGCACGTCCTTAGTTGAAAGGCTTCAGTTCAGCTTGCTTTTAGGCAATTCTCCATAATGGTTGTTTTGTAGATTAGTTGTAATTTTGATGTGGTTGTGAGAGAAGGTAAACACAGCGTTTACCTACTGCGCCATCTTGGTTGTCCTATCGAGAATGTTTTGAATTGGGTGATTATGGAATTGATCAGAAACAGTTGGGTCCCCTTCCTCCTACCTTCTGTAGTTATACAGATGTCCTCTTCCTGTAAATTTACACTTATGCCAGATTGGAACATTTTTATAATCTGGCAAGCCAGAGAAATGGAGGGCTTTCCCTGTTCGCCATCAACACTTGGGGATTTTATCGGCATCAGTAGAGGTGACATCTCTCTTTTGAATTATAAGTAGAGACAAGAAAGCTTAAACATTAAGTAGTTAATAGAAAGAGGTGATTGATTGTGAGAAAGCCTGTAAAGAAAGAAAAGGAGATAATGACAGAAGAGATCCCTGGACCAGGCATAAAAAGTATATGCAGAAAACCCAGGAGAGGTTTGGGTGGAGCCAAGACAGAGGCAAGCAGGGGATGGGGGTAAGAGCTTTAAAAAGTAAAGGTGAGGGGCGGCTGGCCAGTTAGCTCAGTTGGTTAGAGTGCAGTGCTCACAACACCAAGGTTTCTGGTTCGATCCCTGCTTGGGCCACTGAGTTGCGCCCTCCACAACTAGATTGAAAACAACCACTTTACTTGGAGCTGATGAGTCCTGGAAAAACACACTATGCCCCAATAAAAACAAAAACAAAAATCATAAGAAAATTAAAATAAAAAAATACTTCAGAAAAATGCAGTCAATTAAAAAAAAAGGGGGGCGGGTGAGCTGCCCTCCGGGAAGAGACGTGGGACCTCAGGGCAGTGGCCAGACGGGTGTGCTATTAGGCGGGAGGCCAGCAGCTCAGAGCTGTGCCCGTGTAAGAATGCAGCCAGGGAGACTGATGCCCCTTTCTTTCCTTTGCTCTGTCTTGCCCTGTCCCTCTTCTTTTTTCTTAAAGATTTTATTGGGGAGTTGGGGAAGGGGAACAGTGTTGGGGAATCAGGAAAGGGGAACAGACAAGTTGCTGTCCTTTTGTTCTTCAGTCTAGTTGTGGAGGACATTGCTTCACTGGCCCATGTTGGTATTATCATTGCGCTTTTCCCAGGTGAGGCAGACGGTCACCGGCCTCAGGACAGCTGCTCACGGCGGCTCTTCGCAGCTCACA